TTATTATTATTATCATTATTATTATTATTATTATTATTTGCAGAAGTAGTAGTAGTATTACACTAAAAATAAATGACAAGTCACCTTCAATTCTCCAGCAGCCGTCTCATTATCCGAGCAACAATATTGCAGTTTGGATTGTTCCAACTCATTCCTGATTACCAATTCTTTCAATCTTTATTCGATGCTCATCTTCTAATAGTTCTTACAATGACTAGCATGATTGCCACTTACATGTTACAATTAATATTACTCTTATTATCAAAATGTCGCAGATAATTGATAGTAATTTATGAAATTGTGATTTTATACTGGCCATTCTTGTAAAAAAAATAAAATAAAATAAAAAATATATACAAAAATACTTGTGATGCGATAAGACCATTTTTAATTATTATTTTTAAGTTGTTCAATGAAAAGGTCAGTTGTTAGTCATCCAAAAATTATGGGACCGACAGTTACACTCCTGTTCCACAGCTATTTTTTTCTATTTTTTTTACAAATAAAGATTCATTCTACACCCAGCCAAAATCATTGTCATTATATATTTTAAACTGAAGTAGAGAGGGTATGGCGGTGATTATACTCTTATAGGCATATTCCTTGAATTAGATATTCGATTTATTATTATTATTATTATTATTATTATTATTATTATTATTATTATTATTATTTAATTTCCTGCGATTTTTGGTGTGTATTCATTTCTTTCCGGGTCACGACCAGAGACCTAAGGTCAGAAATGGCATCATGACATTTTCCACTGAGAAATTTTTTTTAAAAACTCACACATATTTTACATTGATAAAGCCTTTCGTAAGGAGTGGGCTTAACACATGAGAAAAACATTTTGTATTTCTTTAAGGCAAGGCTACCAGGAATGCTTTCAATGTGTCTATTTGAAACTTACAATCAATCCGAGAGCTTGCTAGTGTATACTCATTTCTTTCCGGGTGCCAACCAGAGACCTAAGCTCAGAAATGGCATCATGACATTTTCCACTGAGCATTTAAAATAAAAAAAGATCACACATATTTTATGTAGATAAAAAGCCATTCGTAAGGTGTGAGTACAATGCTTTTTTTTAAATTTCTTTAAGGCTTGGGCTACTAGTGATCTTTTCAATGAGTCTATCGGAACCTTTTCCTATCGAATTGAGGGCTTCAAGTACAACTTGAATTGTTGGTGTTCTCACGTGCCACATTTTTTAGATTATTATTATTATTATTATTATTATTATTATTAATTATTAATTGTCTAGCTTAAAAAGACGTATCTAGAAAATGACATTGACAGTGACAAAATTGACAACGTTTCAAAATTACCTTTAGTCCCTACATCCGTAGTGCTATAGAGGAGGTCTAGGGCTTCACCCTCTATTTTTGTAACTGACAACTAAACAGAAATCTAAGTCTTTTTGGTCTCAAACGATAGCAATACTATTAACCAGAGCTGCATCATTTGTCTAAAATCGTTACTGGTATTAATTTTCATAATAAATAATAAATCTTCATTTTTTCGAGCCATTAGCTCCAAAACATTTATATAAGTCTTATATGCGAATGAAGTTTATAGGTCTTATTTCAAAAATACAGTACAAGGAAAAAATGTATAATAAAAAATGTATAATAAAAAAAAACATGTGTCAGTAGGATAATATATCTAAAGATAAACTTGCTTTTTATGTGAAATTCAGATAACAAAATATAGATTCAGGAATAATCAAATCATCTAGTTTAGCCCACGTATATTTAGCTTCGGATTTAGCCCCCACACCTGGCTATTTATCATCTCACCTACCCCCCACTTTAAAAACCTGCTTTAGTCTACACACCCTTTTATTTTGCATTGTGCTTGCAATAACAATTTTCCTGAAATCCTAGTAGATTTCAGCCATAGAGGGGGGTCGGCAAATAAAAGTCGAAAAGAGAAAGGACCCCAGTGAAGTCACACTTGGCAGAATATAACGTCTGATTATAAATGATAATAGATTTCTTTTTATTCTTGCTGATTCTACAATTTATCCTTGGAGTGGACATAGCAACCAGCTCACACATGTTTTGCCAATCTTTGTTTAAATTTCTCTTTAGACTCATTTTTATTAAACTAAGCACCGGTCCTAGTGCTGAAAAAATTACAGGGATGATATTTATATCCAATTTCTTCAATTATTATTCGCGCCACTGTTTTTTTCCTCTTGATTATTCAATATTTCTTTGATTACCTTTTGCCTTTTAATATATAATCATCGCGTTTAGCCATTGCAATCACTATTTTTGCTACTACAACTACTAATACAATTTATATTTAGCAAACTTAGATTAGTATGACATAAGACCATCAAATATAAGGAACTCATTATCTTACTAAACTGTGAAACTAATGCTCACAGCGAGATAACCTGTTATTGCTACCTTCTCTTTTAACAACAACAACAACAACAACAACAATAATAATAATAATAATAATAATAATAATAATAATAATAATAATAATTGAGACAGCAAACAAAAAAGTGCCTCCTTATTGATATGGCAGTCCCTGCGGACTACAATGTATCTTTGAAGATCTTCAACTAACTATCAAAATATAAGGACCTTGAAATCGAAATCTCAAAAATGTGACACATGTTGATTTGGAGCCCTCGGATTGGTTGGAAAAGATTCTAGTAGTCTAATTGATGGGATTCCTGGAAGCCCATGCCTTAAAGAAATATAAAAAATTGTTCTCACGAGTACAGCCCACACCTTACGAAAGACTTTATCTATGTAAAATGTTTTTTTTTTTTGTCAGTGGAAAATGTCATGATGCCATTTCTGACCTTAGATCCCTGAGCGGGACCAGGAAAGAAATGTGTACAGACCAGAAATCAAAGGAAATAAAATAATAACAATAATAATAATAATAATAATAATAATAATGGTGATGATAATAATAATAATAATCCGTAGGGCCCACACACTGTACATCTCTGTCCATGAATAGGGATGGTAGAGAAACGTCATGGCCGTGTATCGAGATCATTTTTATGTTTGAGTAATAAGGCAGGCAAGTCGACAAGGGGTGTCATATCTTGATATTAGTAATCACCCTCAATCAGTGTCAGACATTTCTAACCGCAAGGTAAGGACGCTGCTTTTAGCAAAAACGGACAATATATCGCGCAAATTTGGCTGTCGTGCATGTGTCTGGTATACGCTTATCAAGCCAGGATTCGTGAGGCATATATACGAGGATTTGTATTTTTGTACCCAAGCGTCAATTTGGTGGGGTGTTTCTTTTTCACTCAATAATATAATAATAATAATAATAATAATAATAATAATAATCGCCCTACTGGAAATATCCCATATACTAAAAAATATGCTATAAGTTAAATGACAATTCTTCTATAGGGCCTAAGGACCATAGTTTGGACCCGGCTCTACAGGATACAAAGTATAACACGCAAACAACAACAACAACGCTATTATTATTATTATTATTATTATTATTATTATTAATAATAATAATAATAATAATAATAATAATTTTTCATTTTCTTTTACATTCGTTTTCACATTTCAGCGCCAAAACTAAGCTCGTTTGATGAATATAAGAGTGATTTACATTATGTATAAATTACTAGTTACATTGCATTAGTTCAAAAACGATTTGTTTCTGCCAGTGTTATTTATTGTTCACTCTAAAAATGTGTAGGAATGAATGCCTGTGCATGTAATTCTTTCTATGTGAGAGAGTGTGTGAGTGTGATCCGTTTGTAAAACAAAACATGAAAAAAAATTCAAAACTAAACAAAATCACAGAAAACATAATAAAAAACAACAAACTATAACTAAATAAAAGTAGCAAGATTACGTGTTGTGTAAAGCTTGATATGAAGAAAGTTGGTCATGTGACCAAGCATTGATTACATCATAACGCGACCAACCAATCAACGCTCGCTTTTTCACCGGCCTCGCTACTATATAATAATTGCCCACCAAGGCTTATGTTCAGTCCGTTTTAGTTCATATCATATTCTGTACCATGTATGAGACGCAACCAATTTCAGATTTTTAAACTGGACCCTAAACCGCAACATTTGTGATTTAGAATTGGCAGTCAATCACTTGCGATATACCAAATCTTATACACAAACGAAGGGACGTTTATTTATTTGTTTATTTTCGTTTTGTTTTGCTTTGTTTTTAAAAAAAGAGAAGAGGGGTGTTTCTTCCCCCCCTCACCTTTTCACTTTATTAGTCTTTCTCTCTTTTTGGGCATGGGACTTGTTACATTAACCAACGCACGTGGTGGGTGTTCAACCTGATACAAACATACTCGGATGTGCACAGTAACGGATAGACGTTCTCAAATTCGACCCAACCACTAACAAGTGGTTGTGGACATTGTTTACTTTAAGGGTGAATTTCTGCTTTCCTACCCACTTGATAATGCTATCTGCGTTCTGATTGTTCACAAAATATTGCTATTACTACTGCTACTACACAACCACTTTTGCTATAAATTTCAGAAGATAAATACATCGGGTGACGTACCGAAAATAACCTTCTGAGAAAAGAAAAATACAATAAAAAAATTCATTTTAAACTTACAAAGTTTATAATTTATAAAATAAAATGATTTTATTTAGTTTTTTCTTAAAACGCATTTATAAGCGAAATTTACTTACATGCAGTGATAGAAATCTCCCGGTATTTTATAATTTTAACAAAACCAAAACACTTGAAATTTTAGTAGTTCATGGCTAAAAGAGCCATAAATTATTTCCGATCCCTTGTTTGCATTTTAATATTATATTGTTAATTGATTTATAGATATTTTTAAAATGTGAATATTTGCACTAGAAAATTAAAAAAAAAAACTGAATTCTAATTGATTATAAATGATTGTTTTGAAAGTTAAGAAAGAACAATCACAAAAAGGAAGAAAAGGCGAAATTTAAAAAAAAAAGAAATACTTAAAGAAAAATTTATTAGAAAAAAAAAAAGACGATGATGCAATGTTCGACATTATCCGCCACTTCCCTTGACAACAAGCCGAAAATTGGCATCCGACAAGCACTAACGCAACAAAAACAACAACAACAAAAGCAACTCAGTTCGCCTGAATCTGCCGGGCAGACCCCAACCTCCACATTGTCTTCGTCGCCATCGTCGTCATCATCCGCCTCCCCACAAAATAACAACGCCTCTTCCGTGAAAACGGCTCCTCCCACAGAAACAAATGCTAGCACATCCATTGTCACAACTTACACTAATTCTTCATCGGGTGGAAACGGTATAGGCTGTACAATCAGCAGGACCACTGGTTTCAACATTCATAATAATAGTAACAGTAGTGGTACTACCACTACTACTAGTAGTAGCAGTAGTAGTAGTATTAATAACAGCGGCAGTGGGGTAGTCAGTAGCAGTAGTAGCAGTGTTGGCAATTCTGGTGTGGGTTTAAACTTCGGCCGTAATATTGTACGCGCTGAGAACGGGCACTTGGCTCCTCCAGCAGGCCCACATTTTGTTGGCTACCAGCAGCAGCAGCAGCAACAACAACAACAGCAACCACCGTACAGGCACCAACCCCAGCATCATCATCATCCTCAGCAGAGATATAACCTTAACAGTCCACCTACATTGACGAACTTGAGTTTAGTTGGCGCTTTGCCCACAGTCCAAACGGCGGTTCCCCAACAACCGTCACAGCTACCTATGCCGCTCTCACAGACGAGGGTGATGCACTCTTCCCAACCGACACCGCAGCAACTGCATCTCACTCAACCGCCCCAACCCCCGCAGTCACAACAGCATCATCACCACCAACAACAACAACAACGCTCACTTCAAATAAATAACACAAACTCCAGCACTACGTCCTCGCATTCAACACCCCACCACCCATCCCATCATCACCAGCCACCCCCGCCGCAACAGCCCCACCACTCATCCGAGTGGATGCTACAAGGACTCGTATCAGCCTCTGGCCCCCATCAGATGACAAACAGCTCGGAACGTACCTGGATGGCATCACCGGAGTTTACCAACACGCCAGGGGCGGCGTCGGTGGGGTCAGCCAGTCTAGGAGGGTCAATCAGTGGGTCGCAGGGTGTTGTCGTATCATCTAGTTCTGCCAGTAGTACGAATAAGCCCTACTCGGTACCCCCAGGTAGCCGAGGTCGTCGCTCTGAACATTCGCACACACCGCGTCCCATGAATGCATTCATGGTGTGGGCCAAGAAAGAACGAAAGAAACTTGCTGATGAAAACCCTGACGTGCATAATGCGGACTTGAGCAAAATGTTAGGTAAGTAAAAAAAAAAAAAATGCGAGGGGGGCGAATTTAAATCTATAATTTCAATATTAACAAAAAACAACGTTTATTTCGTTTTTTTTTTTTTTTCAAATGCTGTTCAAAGCAATGAATATCGTAAAACACTGATATTAACAATAATGCCCTAAAGGTTCCTATAAGTGTAATTTAGGTTTAGTCAACTCAAATCATTTCACTCAGCATTGACTATTATTCTTTCATCTTATTTCTTTTATTCACCATTCTCAGACCGTGCTTCTATGACCGTTAAATCAGCGTGAATCGGAAGCATACTAAACCTGCCTATGTAGAAATTAATGACGGTGTTTCATGTAAGGAATTCGTAGACTATCAATTTACTTAAATCTAGTAATAAGAACAAATATGTTTAAATGGAACGTGGGAAGACTTTACGTCCAGAATCATTCATTTCATCTTAAAACAAAAACAAACCTTTTCTGATCAGCTGTTAAGTACAAACATTATTCGCCATTACACAAAAACATGTATTTTGGGCAGCTACTCTTCATTTGTGCATGTTTCGTGTAAATATGAAAGAAAAGGAATATCTTTTGAGTTCATTATTTAAAATATTAAATTAAAACATTCACAAGATATTTCCTGTCAATCATATTTAACCGAATCATATACGCATACACACCACACATAGTAGAAGATGTTGTATGTTAATATATATATATATATATATATATATATATGTGTGTGTGTTTGTGTTTTCAAAAATGAATCTTTTTCAAAATGAATCTTTTTGTTTACAGAGGGGTTCAATTTGAATAGACGGGTAATTTCAGTATAGCTGAGTCTTTACAACCTATCCAGGCTAGAAATAAATACTTCGTTAAATCCAGATAGCAACTTCAAGAGGGTACGTTTATTAGGAAAATCAACATTCGATGTCTTAGCTTTTAACATGAACACTGATCCTTAACGTTGTAGAAGAAAAACATTTTTACCGCCTTTGCTTGAGTAAGGACACGTGTTTTTTGATGATAATTTGTTTTTCTTTATTATTTGTAAATTATAACATTTGATCGTTAATATATTGAACAAAACTAATAAATTTTTAACTTAATCAACCTCATGTTCATTTAATTAAGATTTTAATGGAACAATAAATAATTGTAATTAGAGTAGTGGTCGTATAAAGTTTAATTATTTTATGAGTTAGTCTTCTCTCGAAAAGACGCAGCTTTTGAATTGTTATCGTCCAGTCATGATTAGACCACTCAGTGGCACCACTGTTGTATACATTCTACTATTAATTAGACAAGTATACTTATGGCCATCTTCTGTGTGCTGCCTCCCTTCAAGACGTGGCTCTCCACATTTTCTTATCCTTTGTAGTTCATAGTAAAGTTTGCCTTTTTTTCTACCCCTCTCATTCCCTGTTCTGCTTATCCATTTACACAATTTTGTTAGGTATGTTGTTCGCTGCTTACTTCTGTCCGCTTGCCTTCAATACGTCCCTGTGAGTGTTAAATTCTCCAAGCCCTCTTTCATTATTCTAGATATTTCAAATTTTTCTAAATAGAAGTGCACTTTTTGAAAGCCGCGAAAAATTTGATATTTAAAAATAAGCTGATGTTTTTCTGATTACGTTTCACGTTTCTCCGTTTTGACAGTTCGTTTGTAAATTTCTCGGAAAGCATTATATGTCTAAGTTTCATTTATTGTATATTATATATATATATATATATATATATATATATATATATATATATATATATATATAAGAAACACTATTTAAGAAAAAAGTTCGACAAAAAGAATGTTAGTTTGATTTGTGTGTGTGTGTGTGCGCGCTTATCAGTTGTTGATTTTTTTTGTTTTTTCAGGTCGTGTTTGTTTACAATTTCTCTTGTCTTCAAATTCGACAAATATCCATTTCAGTGCTGGTCATTTGACTCGAACATACTTTGAACTATCTAAATTAGATCAAATATTCCTTCACTTTCATATCTATATGATTAAATATATATATAAATCAGTTAATCTTTAATAGTACCGATATGTTTGCACGTACATAATTTTGGATGACTTTTCTGTTTTGGCTTCAATCGTATCGCGTACACACATACATTTCTCTCATTATATATATATATATATATATATATATATATATATATATATATATATATATATATTGGCTCGCTAGAACAATTATGACTGAGTAGTGAGTTCGATCCTCAATGGGTGCCCCCTAATTTCGGCCACAACTAAGCTACGCTTGGTAAATCACTATATATATGTGTGTGTGTATGAGAGAGAGGAGGAATTAATGTGTTTGTTAATGCATAAAAACATAACTGAACATTTGAATTGTTAATATCCTGCGATAAACTATAAAAATCACACTCCACTCTACTTTTGCCCAGGAGTAGTTTATCCCTTGTTTCTTGTTTAGGAGTTTGTTTCCGGTTCCTTATACTAAAATAATGGGGAATAAACAATTTTTAAAAAATGTCCCCTAAGGAAAGAATCTAATTGATACATCTGTAAAATTTATTAATCTGTAAGGACAATTAAAATAACTCATAATTGCTGAAATTAAAGTTTTGAAATAAATTTGGTGAATGATTTTTTATATTTTGTACAAAACGTGGGACTTGAATATCAATACTAATTAATCATGTGATATATTTACAAATGATTTCGCTTGGTTTAAAACATACACAAGAATTAAACATTCTGATTGGAGAGAAAACACAAACAACTTTCAACTTTTTTAAAAAATTTATTAAGAGAAACAGAAGAATAAACAACAATTTTTACAATGCTGTTCATCCTGTAGAAGGCCCGTGAGGTACTCGAGGTAGGGGGTTACAGAATAAAAGGGGAAGGTAACGGTTAACTTGAAGAGGTTAATATTGTACCAAACGGGCAAGCATCCACTTGGGAGACATTTACGTAAAGCAGCGGTTCGAGTGAATCTTACATCTCACCAATAGATTTATCGTTAAATAAACACCTTAAATGACGATCTTGTTTTGCTACTTAACCATTTCACTGTTACTTTTTAAAAGTAGCTTACTTTTAGCATAAAAACCAAAAGTATGTAGTACCCGGTAAGGATCGAACCCGTTACTAATGATATGTAAATTCAGCTTGCCGACTATTATAAAACGAAAAGGCGCCATTGGTGATTTTTAAGCGCTTATCTATAATAAAAAATAGTGTCAGGAATCTCTTCTTACTTTTCCCTTCCGTACTTTAAAAAAAATAGGTCGGTTTCATATTCAATTTAAATTTGATGATATTACACACACACACACACATATATAAAATTTTATTACCTATAATATATATATATATATATATATATATATATATATATATATATATATATATATTATAATAAATCCGTTGGCATATAATCCAAGTTGATCCTAATAATATTAAATATAATAACTGATCCGCAAAAAGAGCTCAATGCATATTTATTATAACAGAGCATATAAATTACACAACAAAATCCAAAATTGACTCATATGGGGAGGTATAGATCTGTTTCAACCAATGAAAATACGTTAGTCTTATTCAACCCTGGTGTACAAACTTTGTACTGGTGTACAAACTTGAAGTTGAAAGTGTACATATCGTTGTATCTATCTATCATCTTTATCTATCTTATCTCTATATATATATATATATATATATATGTAATATGTGTGTT